CAAACCGCCAACAAAAAAAATCCTCTAAAACAAACCCAAATCCATTTTGATGTCATTGCCCAGGCAAGCTTCCCTGCTGTGAATTTTAAAGTCCCTTCCACTGGGAGGACTCTAGTAAGGCAACTTAGCAGAATCCCCTAGGGTGATACCTCTCAGAAGTGTACCTAACAGTCACACAGAAAGTGGCAAACCCCAATAAGCAGCCTGTAAGGATACAAGAGAACCAAACACCACTCTCATGGTGCTTGCAGCCAGCCTACCACACTCCTTGGTGATTTCAAGAGATCATGAATCTTTTGTGTGTGTTTTAGTAGGGGTCTACAGGTTCCACAGGGTCTCATGTAGATCAGACTCCTAGTGATCCACCTGTGTTCAGCCTCCCAAAGAGCTGAAATTACTGGCACACAACACCATGCCCATTCTCAATCTCGCTGTCTCAAGAGCACCCCAGGGCCATCTGCCGAAGCAGGCACTTTAATCTGCTGAGCTATTTGGTCTGCCCTGATCCTGATTTCCCAGCACCACATGCCAGCCAGCCCCGCCCCCTGGTGGGCTGAGCTGGCCACAAACACACACATAAATAAAAATTTAAAATAAATAAATAAATAAACTATCAATGAAACCCTACCTCAAAAAAAAGGGGGGGGTTCTGGGAAGATGGCTCAGTGTGAATAAGTGCTTCCCTGGCAAGTGCAAGGGCCTGAGTTCAATCCCCAGTTCCACAAAAAACACCCAAAAAATGATAAATGCAAAATCTATCTGTAAGGGCCAGCAATATAGCTCAGCAGTCTAAAGTGCCTGCTTAGGCAAGCACCTAGGGACTGAGGTTCAATCCCCAGCACCACATGCCCTGCCAGCCCCGCCCTCAAGGTGGGCTGAGCAAGCCAAAAATTTAAAATAAAAAAAAAAATCTGTTTGCAAATTACTTTTCTTTAAACATTTACTATTGCATCCCACACATTCAAGTTAACTAGAAAAAAGTATCTCATAGCACTTCTCTTAATAATAGACATAAAAAACTGCCTGGTGATGGCAGCATAACAGTTCCTCAACAATGGCATTCAGGTAAAACTCAATGAGACTTTTGAGAGGCATTGTGACAGTAGTAACAAGAATATGCACGCGGTTCTTAGCAATGAAAAATAAGATCCTGAATTGGGTGTGGTGGCATGTACCTCAGAGAAGCAGAAGGCAACTCAAGATAGACCCTATCTCAAAAATTAAAATACATAAATAAAAGGCTGGTGATGTAGCTCAGTGAAGGCCTGGTTCAATCCCCAGTGGAAGTTACCCAAAGAGAATTATTTCCTAAGCGCAGGAAACAGCCTTACCCAAACTCCTAGATACAGGAATGATCTGTTATAGGAGAAATAAAGTCACTAGAACACACCACTACATTGAAGTTTCTTCAGATTTAGCAGTGTGGCAAGATAGCCTACACCTGTATCTTACCACTCTGGTAAAATGAAGGAGGATCCGAAGTTTGACCCTAGCCTGGACAATTTAGAGACCTTGTCTCAAGATAAATAAATTTTATCTAAAGATGTAGCTCAGGGGGCTGGGGATATAGCTCAGTAGAATAAGCACTTGCCTGGCAAGCACAAGATCCTGAGTTCAATCCCCAGATCTGCCAAAAAAAAAAAAA